CGGAGGGGGTCGACAGGAAGCCCTGGGATGGATCTCAGCAGCTCCATAACCCCCCCGCAGCGCCCCACATTCTGCACCATCAAGGAAGTGGAGTTGTGCCCCAAGGTCACTTACTGCACGATTAAAGACTTGGGGATGCAGCGTAGTCCTCCTCCAAGCTCCTCCTTCTGCACCACCAAGGAGCTGTGGCTCCACCATCCTCCTCCCAGCGCCTCGCTCAGCTCGTCCTCCAGCGACCTGGAGGTCACAAACCTTGGGTCTCAGAGGGCCCCTTCTGCCTACAGCCTGGACAGGGGTGTCAGGGCCATCGGTGACGTCAGGGTGAACTACACTGGCAACACCTTGTGAGTGCCTCTGGACGAGCAGAGGCAGAGGGGGTGCTCGTGGCTCTGCTTCAGCACCCCTGCTTCACAAGGGCAGGGTCTGCTTCCCAAGGTGAAGCTCATCCTGCTGCTTCCACTGGCATCCCTCTCACACCCCTGAGGTTTCTGGATCTGAAATAATTCCTTGGCTGTCTGGCAGGGGATGTCCTGACCTGGCTGGTGGAAGTCTGGGGGTGTTGGGGTGTGTGGGAGGGCAGAGTGAGCTCTGTGTGGCAGAGGCACGTGGAGCTCACCACGCTTCCAGCTGGGCCAACCTCGGAATAAAGATCCTCCTGCTTGAGTTCCACACGGGTCCTGGTTTCCTTTCGTGGGGCCTCCCACAGTCCTGGCAGGGACTGGACAATGACAAAACTGTCCTTAGTGAAGGAAGAGTGACGATGGAGAGGAAAAGTCCTCCCTGGCTTTTGCCCCACATGTGTGATCCTTCCCCTGAGACTGAGTGTCCCACTGGCACGTGGCAAGCTCAGGAGAGGGTGGATGTCAGTGCCCCTGCATGCCCCACCATGGGATGGCTGGAAATGGGGGGCAGTGGGGGGCAGGAGGCTTTGGAGGGCAACGAATGGGACTGGGAAGGAATCACACTAGGACAGTGTCCAGGGGCTGGCCCAACTCTGTGATCACCTGTTCAGAAATCACTCAACATTCTGGGAGCACCCTAGGGACACATGGATGACTGGGGAGAGCCCGGACACCCCCTATTACTTCAGTTTGAACAGTTTCTTTACACTGATTTTTTTTCCCCTTTGCCAGACACTTTTACTACATCCTGGGACATTTTTCTGCCCCTCTGGTCTTGCAGAGCGTGTTGGTGAGGGCTTTTCTTGTTCTGGAAGGGTGCTGTTTCCCACACTGCTGTGCTTGGGCTCTGCAGTGGAGCAGCAGGCATCAGCTCCAGGTGACCTCTCCAGGAGCTTTGACTTTCTTTTGACACTGGTCCCACAATGTCACGGCATCCAGGTCAGGCCATCAAGATCTGAATGGCTGGAGAATTGGACAGGTAAAAAGTGGTGTGAAGGTCAGGACCAGTGGCTAGTGGATCATACTTGGATGCTGTTAGCACGTGGAGCACTGCATGGGGCTGCACTGGAAACCTTTCTGCTTAATCTCTTTATCAGTGACATGGAGGAGGTGACCAAGTGTGCTTTTATCATGTTATTAGATGATTTCAGTCAGTTTGCTTCCAACAGAGAAGCTTGCAGCTGCTCAGGGAGCACCATTCACCCTGGAGAAATGGCTCGACAGAAACCTGATGAAAGTCAACAAGGACAAATGCCAAGTGCTGCAGCCTGGGTGGAAGCCCACAGCAGTGCTGGTGGGGGACAGCCTGCGTGGGGAGCAGAGCTGTGGAAAAAGACCCGGGTGTCTTGGGCAACAGAAAAGTGAACAAGATACAGGGGTGCACCCTGGCAGCAGGGGGGCCGGGTTAGCAGGGCACAGCCAGTGCCAGGGGATGCCCTTATCCCCTCTGCTCAGCACTCAGCAGACTGCATCTGTTTTGGGAAGCCATTAGAGCCTGCAGCCCTCCCCTTCACATCCCAGGACACCCCGTTCCCTCCCCAGAGGTACCACAGGTACCCCAGTGTCTCCCAGAGTCCCCATGACCTCTGCCTCTCTCTGGAAGTTCTTGCTAGGATTCTTCCACCTCTCCACACAACGAGCATTCCAGGTCACGTCAGGAAGCCAAGATCTCCCAGAATGACCTAAAACACCCAAAGACCCCAGGACCCTCCAGTGCCCCCTTATCTCGGCTGCCATCTGCCTCCAAACCTCCAGGACTCTCAGGCTCCCTCAGGGCTGCCCCATGCCTCAGTCCTGAGACTCAGGCCCACCTCCTCCTGTGGCCAGTGAATCTGGGCACCCAGAGCCCCAGTGTCCTCCCCCCACTCCCTGGAGCCCACCCCTCAGGGAACCCAGACTGTCTCCTACTCGCCTCCTGTTCCTTGCAAGGAGCACCTGAATGTCTGTGCTCCCCAGCAGAAACAACAAGACCCAGATGGGTAGTTCAGGAGCCACTTTTATTCAACCCAAGTTGTGGGGAACACTGGGGGGATGTCCAGCTCCTGGTGAAGGGCTCAGAGCAAGAGAACAAATATTCTTGGAGGTACAGGGCTGTAGTGGGGGTAGTCTTTGTGTCCCACGGGGTCCCCACAGCCCAGGGCATGTACCCGGGGATGGGGGGGTTGCTGGAAACCACAGGAGGAACCCATTCTGGGAGATGGGTCTGGGGGTGATTTTGTCTCATAGATGTGCCAATGGATGCTACCTGGGGATCCCAGTATGGGGTGCAGAGCTTTTAAGCTCCCCTAAATATTATTTGGAGTTTTGGGGGTTTTCAAGGGGTCCTCAGGGCAGCTGGGGCCACGCAAGGCAGAGGGCACAGTGAGGACACAGACCTGGAGGTCAGCGTAGGCGTGGGGCAGGGTGCCCCGTGTGATCCAGCGCCGTGAGCCAGGCTGGTAGGCGTGGATCAAGTGGGTGTTCTGGTAGGTCTCGTGACTGTACCCCCCCAGCACGAGCAGCTCCCCCCCCAGCACAGCGGC